GCAGTGAGCAGAGCAGTCCCAGTGCTCTCGTCCAGGGCTGCAGTGAGTCACTGCTGAGCGGAGGGGCTTGGCGAAGTTGACCCACATCTCTGCCTTGGGGAGCTGCGGCGTCTGGGTCTGGGCCTGTCCTTGACCTCCACCTAGCTGGCAACGAAGAAGCTGCTTGGGTTGCCCTGCAGCCGCATGGCTCAGGTGGGAATGTTTTAAACAGAAGGCGGGGGGTGGCTGTGTGTGCTTTCTGACCCCTCCTGTGTCCCCACAGTGGGTCAGGACACTGCACCCCTCCCTCTAGCAGCTGCAGCTATCTAGCTCCGCAAGCAGGAGCATTGCCTCTTTTGTCCTGGTCAGGGCTTTGGCAGCTGCAGAGCGCTTGCTTGTGTGACCTAGAGGAGGTGCAGGCCAGTAGGATGGGGAAGATGTTAGTCTGAAGAATGTGGCCCATGGGTCAATGTGGCTTAACATCACCGCTCACCCTGGGCAGGCGCCGGTCTACCTGCTGTCTGGGGTCTGGGCTGGATTCTTGTCCTGTGCCTGCTAGTACCTGGCTTCTGTTCTCCTGCCCAGCGTCAGTGCTTGGAAAGCTAGTAGGTGAACTGCAGGGTGATGTGGGGAAGGCGGTTAGTTTCTGGGTGTGCTGTCGGTGTCCAAAGAGACAAATCAGGCTTCTCTCCCACACACAGTGCGTCTGGCCAGATGCAAATTACACAGCCCACAGCTAATGGAAGGGTGGTCTTAGGGTTAAGACACTACAATGGGAAACTGGGTTCAGTTATTGTCTGTGCCACAAACTTCCCATTTGTGGCCTTGAGCAGATGAATCCTTCTTTCCCAGCCCCCAGGCTGATCTGTAAAATGGAGATTATACAGATTGGACCTCGCTGGTCCAACACCCTTGGGACCTTATCGGTCCCAAACTAGGGATTTTGCCACACTAGGGGAGGTGAATTCTGGCCCCCTGCCACCAGCCCCCCAGCCTAGCTCTGTTCATGGCCTGACTGCCAGCCCCCCAGCCAGCTCCCCCCACTACTGGCCCAGCTGGGCTTGCAGCCACAGCAGGGCTGCCAGTTCCTCCCTCCCACCGCCCACCCCACTGCCGCCGGCCCTACCAGCCACCTCTGGCTCCACTGGACTCCTGTGTCAGGGCTCCCGGCCACCAGCCCCCCGTAGCCAGCCTGGTTGGGCTCCTTGTGTGTCCTGTCTCTTTAGCTGGTAAATTCTTCCAGTCACAGGCAATTTGTACATTAAGGTGGGATGTTTTTCTCCAGGAATTATTTTGGGACCCTTCTGTGGCCTGTGCCATCCAGGAGGTCAGGTTAGATGATCACGGTGGTTCCCCCAGCACCATCTCTGCAGTGCGGCCTCCCCTGCCTCTATTTACATTTAAAATGCAGAGTCACTGTGCAGGTGGCTCCCGGAGCAGGCATAAGCCAGGACTGCTCAGTCCCAGCTTGAGCCAGCTCCTAGAGCTACCCCGCTGTAGCTCTGCATAGCGGTCCTTATTGACTAGTTGTGTAGTCAATATCAATTATATCGACTACATAATTAGATAACCGCAATTTTACATCCTCACTAGTAATCTTCTGGGGTGCAGCTGTTTAATTCCCCACACGTAGTGCAGTGTCTCTTCCTTCGGTTGCTGGAATCCAGGGGAAGGGTTGGGAGATTTCAGAGATGTGCTAGGGGAGCTGATTCTCCTCTGAAGGGGCCACAGCAAAGCTGAAAGGCTCAGGTGCCATCCACGCCATACGTCTCTTGTCAGGGGACGCTGCTCCCGCAGCGGTGACCTGGCGTGGTTAAAACATGGCTTATTCCTGGAATGTAAGTTGAACAGAACTGGGTTTTAACTGTACTCCTGCCTCCAGAGTCCAAAGCAGCAGCAAGGGTTTGCTTTGCTGCAGAACTGATCAGTGTTTTTCCTTGTTTTGTTTTCAGGGGTTCATGCTCCAGTACCCGTGCCCCTTCCCACACACCCACTAGACACACAGTTTTGTGCTGTGCAGATGTGATCTAAAAAAAAAGCCTTGATTGACAGGGCAGCTCTTCAAACAGATTCCTAATACACTTGCTCCTCTAGCTTTGAGGCTTATTTTAAAGGCCGAGTCACTTTCCAGAGTGAGGTGGGGCCAACTGCAGGTGTAAACATGCCATGCCCTTTCAAGCAGGGGTCAGCTGTAGGGCCACAGTGTGGGTTGTGTTAACGTGCGAGTGTAGCACCGTGTACTTTCAAGTGCTTTCCGAAGCCAGAGTGCAGTAAACACAAGGCTTAAAGGGCACATTTTAAATAGAGCCTCTGAGAATCCCAGAGCTTTCCTGAGCTTCTTTCCCCGCTGGCTTGCTTGTTAGTAGGCTGCAGCAGTTGTTCAGTGACTCCCAGAAACGCCATAGACGTTGAAGAGAAGTGGAAAGGGAATTTTCAGCCAGTTAGAACGGCAGGGAAACAATGCAGTTGTGCAGACTAGTCTGGCCAGGCCCATGCCCCGCCTCTTTTGACAGATGCCCTAGGATCTGGGCCACAGATGTCCAGGGCCTTGCTATTTCCTCTACAGATGGCCCCTGCAATGTACTGTGCTTCTGAGCTGCAATCTGAGAGTTGGCTCAGTCTGGTCTGAGTGCCCATCCAGGGAGCCAGCGCCGCTTCCGAGGTTCCGCTCCCAGTGTTATCCGTGTCCAGCCCTATTTCATATCCGAGCAGGAGAGCTGATAATGGAAATCTAAGGGGTTCATATTGCTGGTGGGACACCTCACTGAGAAAATGGGGGCAAACCCTTCACATGGGTTTCCTGGAGGTGATGCCAGCAGCCATGAAGACTAGAAATAGGCCATTTCCTTGAGCTGAAATTCTCGGAGTGCATGGAAGTTAAGGTCGAGTAACCACTGGGTGAGAAGCATTTGCGTTTTTAGATTTCCGCCCCCCAAGTTCTGCTCGTCTCCACGAGGAGCCTGCTGGCGAGGTCACCGTTTGCCAGCAAGCTGTGCTCCTTCATAGTCTCCACGAAGCTCCTAGACACAAGCAGATAATTCACAGATAAAAATACTGAGTGGCTTGAACAGTAGAGCTGGAATACGACCTAGGTGAGAATCACCAGCCTAACAGTGGCAGAATAAACGTATCCTCACTTCTACTCCTAAGCAGTATGCTCAGGGAAGGAAGCCAGCTTCTGTTTTCTACTGTCCCCCCTCCATCCTGCACTGAACTCCGCCTCCCCTCTTTCCTCTCAGGCTTTACTGAATAGTAAGGGGCTTTGGCTGGGTACTCCGTTGGCCTCCCCAAGTCAGCACTGGAAAGCGACTAATACTGATGGTCTGAAATAGCTCCAGGACTGGTTGCTAATCGCAGAAAAGTTTGAGTTGATGACCCAGGGAATCAGGAATAGCTTCATTTTACCAGACCTGATGGTGCAAAGAAGGACATGGTTCTGCAGAGCACACAGGAATCTGAACGAGGTCTCCTTTGGGTCTGAGTAGAACCAGGAGCGGCCCGAGGCCGGCTGCGGCAGCTGGTGCCCAAGGCAGAACGTGCGATCGGCACCCCCGTCAATGGGGTGATGTCATCATCGGGCACCGTTGAAGGCGACGACGTAGGCGACGGCTGAGTCGGCCTATAGTCATGGGCCGCCCCTGAGTAGAACCACCTCTGGCTCTAGAAGGCACTTAGCGCACAAGTCTCTTGAATTGAGACTGAACAACTGCATTGTTCAGTCGAGGAGGTGACATTGTGTAGACTTCAGACAGGGGCTTTGTCCTCTCTGTATGTGGCTAGTACCTAGCACGTGGGGTTGCTCTTGTAGTTTTAACAAGTTGCCCACCTAGTGGCTAGCTGTGGAACCCCACGCCACGAGTTCTTCGAAGAGCAGCGTAGTCAATATAAAAGGGAAATTCATGGCAGCATGGTCTGCATAGCTTGCACCAGGACTCCTCTCGAGAAATTCCTTCTGCAGCTGGCAACATTGCTGCAAATCAGAATTATATAGCTGGAACATTTTTAGCCTTTAACATTTTTTGTTATGGAAACCTAGGTAAACAAGAACTCAAATCTCCTGACTTAGTGGGGAGTCGCTCCCTCCCCCCAAGAGACTGCTTTGCCTCCAGTAGAGCTTACAGTAGCTCCAAGAAAAAAAGGGAGCTTCTGTGGCACCTTAAACATTAGGACATTTATTTGGGAATGAGCTTTTGTGCACTGGCGCCCATGCTGTCAGATGTATGGGCCCAGGAAAGCTGAATGTGTTAGTCTTTAAGGGGCCACAGGACTCCTTGTTTTGTGCTGAAGCAGGCTAACGCAGCGACCCCTCTGCCCTAAATCACAGCAGTGTTGTATGATTCCTGGTGGCGGCGGCGGGGCCCCGAAGAGCTGGAGTGTGGTGTGCTTCATGAGTGCCCCATGGCACAGCAGGACAGTATCGGAGACCCTGCTGAATTGTTGCCATCTTGTGACTTTGCTCCAGCGTGGCCAGGAAACTGTTGTAACTGCCCCAAAGTAGGGGGGCGGGGCCTAATTCCACCCCATAAAGAAGTGCCTCATGTTGGGAAGTTACCCAGAAACCCCTGCTGCTGGCCGCAATGCTCAGCATTATGGGATACATGGTTCAGGTGTGCTAGTTATAGGAGCTTCAGGTGCGGGTGCTTGATTCTGGCAGAGACTGTGGCTGGCGGCATGTGCCAAACAGTTGCAAGTACAAACAAGACAATCAGCCATTTCCTACCATCAGAGTTCTTGCCAGTGGTTTCTTTGGTTTGCTGTAGTCATGAGAGGAGCTACAGCTTCCGGCTCTCGAACTTTGCTTTGTCAGTGTGTGTGAGTTTGATTCAGTGTCGCCCACTTGATGATGATCCAATTTGTAGCTGCCTTTCTGTGCAGAGTTTGCCATTGCGGAACATACAGCTGTATTTGCTCCCCCCGCCCCCCGTGGTTTTGAGTTGTAGGGTCTGCCCCAAGGTTTCCAGCCTCCTTGATTCCTTTTCTTTCCATTTTTCTCTGTCATTAGACAGCTTCTGCTCCACATGCAAGCAGCAGGCGTCTTTTATCTCCGGCTTCAGCTTGTGATCTGTGTGTCAGTCTCTCTGTGGAGAAGGGGAGGAGGATCCTTTTGCTCCCTCTCCTCCTCGTAGAACGCCTTCTTTAGCAGACTCCAGCCGGAGTTGGGTAAGCGGGAGGGGTTCCTGACTGTACTAAAAATGTCATTAAAAAAATAAAAGCAGGCACCTGATTGAAGAAAGGAGTTGTCCTCGGATTTCTTGCTTTGAAACTGCACAACTGACTCTCTGGAGGTGCTGTGTGAACTGGGAAGGAGCAGAAATGAAGTTCAGGGCGGCGGTAAGATTTCTTTCCCTGCTGTGTTCTTGTGCAGTTTTTCTCCTGTGTGTCCAGCCTGAGCGGAGCGGGGAGAATGCCTCAGGGGGTCAGCATGAAGCCCCTACGCGTCTCACGCACAAATTCAAGTGGGAAACTGCTGCTTGGAAAGTTCCGTTTGAGTGCTTGAGCGAGGCAGTTCGGGGGCTGTGTTTCAAGGAGATGAGTATGTGGCAGTACAGGGGTGGGAAGGGACAGTCAGGAACGTGCTGGGGCTCTGGGGAGGAGGCATGTATCCGGTTCTGAGGTTCCTTTTCATATTTATGAGGGGTTCGGGCTCTGTTTGCCACACAGATGCCACTCATCCTAACTTTCAGGAATTCTTCCGATTTTTTTTTTTTATGAATAATTATGAAATTTGGACTCCAGTTGAGTAAGTTTGCAAGCACGCACGTTTAATGTGTATAGATTGTGTCCCCCACTTGGGTCTTATGAACATAACACATGGCACTGAGGGTGGGGCGGGGTGGGGCATGGTGCATTCTTTACAACCCCCACGGCACAAGTGCATTCTGTGCAGGGAGGCCCTGATCGGGGCAAGCCAGAGGGATTTTGAATGGGTTGGATTGCTAGATTCACCCCTAAGCCACAGGCTGTGCGTTGCTCTTTAACTGCCCCGGGGGACTTTCAGGACCATGTGAAAGTGCTGTAGGTCAGGGGCTCTCCACCTTCCCAGATTACTGTGTCCCTTTCAGGAGTCTGATTTCTCTTGTGAACCCCCCTGATCACCTCACTTGAAATCTACTGGTTTACAAAATCAGACCAAAAGTTACAAAAGTGTCACAGGAACTTGATTACTGAAAAATCGCTGGCACTTGCATCCAGACACAATTATGACAAATATCCACTGGGATATAAATATTGTGCTTGCCTTTCAGTGGCTAGCATGAAGCACGGTGCAAACTAGTCATGCAGCGTTTTACTTGGGACTGACTTCGCTAGTGCTTTCCATGTAGCCTCTTGTGCAACTAGACACCAATCTAGATGAAGTGGTGACCCCCAGGGAGACCTCCCGCTCCCTGGCTGCCAAGGGGCAGTTCAAGCACAGCACGCAGCCTGCGGCATGGGCAAGGAGTCCAGTTCCCTGCTGACAGTCTCTGCAGTGGGCCTCCTGTCGGACCCCTTGCACCGTCTGTGCGAGAGGAGCTGGAGGGAGGCAGTGGGGGTGGAGGAGGAGAGGGAATGTGGCAAAAATGAACAGGCGTCGGTTTTAAAATAAACAAAGGGAAATACGTCACATGATGCACAGTCGGCCTGTGCAGCCCGTTGCCATGGGATGTTGTGAAAGCCAAAAATGTAACCAAGCTCAGGGAAGAATGAGAGATGTGTAGGGAGAGACCCCAGGGCTAGTTAGACGTGACGGGAGGGCAGGCGGGTCCGTCGGTGGTTACTGACCCCAGGGCTAGTTAGACGTGACGGGAGGGCAGGCGGGTCCGTCGGTGGTTACTGACCCCAGGGCTAGTTAGACGTGACGGGAGGGCAGGCGGGTCCGTCGGTGGTTACTGACCCCAGGGCTAGTTAGACGTGACGGGAGGGCAGGCGGGTCCGTCGGTGGTTACTGACCCCAGGGCTAGTTAGACGTGACGGGAGGGCAGGCGGGTCCGTCGGTGGTTACTGACCCCAGGGCTAGTTAGACGTGACGGGAGGGCAGGCGGGTCCGTCGGTGGTTACTGACCCCAGGGCTAGTTAGACGTGACGGGAGGGCAGGCGGGTCCGTCGGTGGTTACTGACCCCAGGCTCTCACTGTGGATGTTTCTAAATCTCCAAGTGCCGGAAGCTGGTTCTGGGTGACAAGGGATGGGCCACTCAGAGTTGCCCTGCCTGTTCATTCTCTCTGAAATGCCTGCTACTAGTCACAGTCCGAGCCAAGATGCTGGGCTAGATAGATGGGCAGTTGGGCTAATCAGATAGAGCTGCTCTTTTGTTTTAAATCATCATTTGTGTTGGAGCAGCAGCCAGTAAAGCTCAGTCTACCCTCATGAGGGCAGAATTAGGCGGGGGCAGAGACGAGTGGTGAAGAGATGAGGGTCGTTTCTTTTCGAAAGGAGACCGATAGGAGGAGGCATGACAAACACGTCACATAGTTAATGGTCTAAAGAAGAGTCGCTGGGAACTTTTTTCTCCTTCATGACGCAGGAAGAAGGGGACAGTCAATTAAATGAAAAGGCACATACAAAATTGGTGTAAGGAAATACTTTTTCATCCGGTATGTAATTAGATTGTGGAATTCATTGCCACAGGACATCGTTGATTACGAGAACGTAGCAAGATTCAAAAAATGATTGGACACTTACACGGATGAGAGTATCCAAGTTGTCGTATTTAATGTTAACAGATGTTGAAAGAGGTATTAAAAACCTCACGGTTCTGATTTTACACCAGTCCCTAATTAATAGGGATTAGGAGGAGACCTAATCTGCATAACGTGATTCTGTATAATGTGAGACACTTTCCCCTGAGGCATCTCTCACTGGCCCTTCTGAGGCAGAGTGCAGGACTGGATAAAATACAGGACTGACCTAGAAAGCCAATTCCCATTTCCCTACTTTTCTTATAATTCTCCCACTATTCCTTTAGCCCCAGTGCAGGCCCGCAGCATCAATAGGTCTGTGGCGGCACTTGGCCATAGCCTGGCACTGCTGCAGGCAAGGCAGCGAGTACTGAATTGGCTCGTCTGGTGCAGACTCGCTAACTGCATGGGAGAGCACTCCCCCATTGTGTATTCCGCCTCCCCGAGAAGCATCCAGGAAATCAACAGGAGACCCTTGCCCATCGATACAGCAAGCGTAGCCACTGAGGTCAATGGCTCTGACAACATCAGCATCAGTTACGCCATTCATATAACCGAAGTTGCATGCGTGTTATCGATTTACCAGCCCTCGGTGTTCTCTCATTCATCTAATGTGACTCAGAGCAGGTTTTGTGGCATGGTGCTAAAACCAGTTGAGTATCATCTACCCTAGAGCTTATTTTGTTCCTGTTACCACTATATCTGCATTATTGGTGGCATTTATTGCCATTTGGATCCTGATCTGCATTCTGGTGTAGCTGGGACCTCAGACCAGCGCTGGCATTTACGTGAAGGTGTGCTGGATCCTGGTGGCACCCACCTAATCCCTCCCCATGGGCATGACCGAGCTCTAGAGGCTTGTTTTGGGGATTGTTCTTGCAGGGGGCAATGAGAGTGACAGCAGGCATGTCCCACCAGAAGATGCAAAGGAGGGATTCCCCGAAGTATGATGTAAAAAGAATTCATAGCAGTGAGTGAGGAGAGGTGAAGTTGATCCAGAGAGGAGGGGGGACTAGTCCAGTGCTTGTCAGGCTGTCGTGTGATGTTCCTATGAGAAGGAAGGAGATTTAGAGGAGCCTTTCGTACCCACTGGGTGGAGTGCTAGAAGGCTGGTTCGGTTGCTCTCTCTGAAACCCATAATGGTGTTAGATCATTGTGTTGGGCGGGAGAATTGGGACCGTGTCCAACCTGCAGATTAGGGATGTAGAACTAGGAAAGGGCATAGGGCAGTAGTTATAATGAGGTGTGATGCCCCAGTGTTTGGGGCCTAGATTTTCAGAGGGGATTAGTGCAATGCTTGCAGGCCAGTAATGATCACGTACCACAGAACGTGAGATGAGGTGCTTTGGTGGGGGGGATGTGAGATGGGTTTTGGAGGGGTGCTGATGGATGCCCTGAAGTTACTAAAAATGTCACTGGGGCAGAGTCTTCCTCTCATTTCTGCACCTCGCCTCTCCATGTGACCTGGAAGCTGCTACAAAGCTCCCGGGAAAGGGCTGTTCTGCTTTTTTCATCTGTGTCACATGAGCGCTGTGACGTGGCCGTGAGATTCCAGACCCATGGCTTGAGCTTTGTGTAGCTCAATAAAGCCCTAGCAGTATGACTAAACAAACCCACTGTTTTCAGTCTGTCCAAACGGGTCATGTGCTCTAGATCTTTTAATCTTTTTTCACTCTTCTCTGGACTTTGCCCACATCCTTTCTGAAATGTGGCACACTGCACCGGACACAATACTGGAAGTAGAGCGGAAGAATCACTTCTTGTGTCGTGCCCACTCCTCCCTGCTAATAAATCCCAGAATTGCAAAATATATTTATTTATTTGCAACATTTGCGGTGTTGACTCATTTAGCTTATGATCTTTGTAACCCCTCAGCATCTTTCCACATAAGCCTTTCTAGGCAGTCGTTTCCATATTGTACATGTGCAATCGAGCGCTCCTTCCTAAGTGGAGGACTTTGCATTTGTACTTCTTGAACTTCATCCTGTTTTCTTCATGCGATTTCTTCAGTTTGTCCAGATAATTCTGAATTTTAATCCTATCCTCTAGAGCACGTGCAGCCTCCTTCCAGCCTGGCATTGTTTGCAAACTTTACAAGCGTATTCTCTGCCATTCTCTAAATCAGCAGTTCTCAAACTTTTTGGGCTCCGGAGCCCTTTCCATGCGTAAAAATTTATGCAGTGCCCCAGCGGTCCACTGATTGTATGTGCTGTACCTATCGATGTTTCCAGTTTGCCAGCCTCGCGGACCCCCTGGAGATGTCTCACGGACCTGGGGCTCCACAGAGCACAGTTTGAGAAACACTGCTCTAAATAATTTAGAGAGAGAATAAATAGAGGTGGACCCAGGGCTGATCCCTCGAAGTAATACCCTTCCACCTTGACTGAACCACTGATAACTATTCTCTGGGAACAGTTATCCAACCGGTTGTGCCTTGACCTAACAACAGGTCTGTCTAGGTTTTAGTTCCCTAATGTATGTCATGCATACTAGAACTAACAGTATTTTTAACTGATTTACACAGCTGGTGCCACATGGTAAAGAGAAAAAATGCCTGCTCCCTAAAAATAGAAATCCTCTGTGTTGACTCTAAGTTACCCTGGTCTCTTTCTGGTTTGCCCACTTATTTTTTCTCAGAGATATTTTCTGTTTAGCTTGCTGACTGAAATATGGC